TTCTGTGTGGTCATTAGTTCACAACCATGGCTTCTACCAAGTCGAATGAGCTTCCAAAGTAGAAAGTAATGTTACTAAGGCCTATATAGGCAATTAAAATATTAACTGCATTTTTAAAAAACTCTATGTATTCTCTGTTCTATTCGAATAAATATGGCATTTATTTCGTCAATTTATCATGTTTACTTTAGATAATATTAAAGTTTTCCGTAGAACGTGCACAAAAGTTTAAAAATCTGCAAAAAAACTCTGTAGGGCTGCTAACACTTTGCCATTTAAATCCCCGTCGTTTAAAGGTTAAGCACAGTGGCCCACTTTTACTTGACTGAGTTGTAAAAGTATCTGGCATTCTATATGTTAACACTTACATGAGTGGCAAGGATAGGATCAGCCAATGAGTTCAACAAACTCTGAACAAGATTTGGAAACTGATCAATGAGTGTCTGACATCCAATTTCATTCGCCAAGACTGCCAGACCAATGTATCTGGATTTGCTATGTACTGGTATCTTCAAGACAGTTTCCAGAATAGAAGTCAAGACATTACAGCCATCTGAGCCTACAGAGCAATAACAAAAATTGCAGAGTTAAACCAGAAATACAAAGCATGGACTAAATCACATTATATTTAAAAAATGTCTATTGCTCCCATTGGTGCAAAATAAACACATGAAAATCATATGGGATACTGTTATAATGAATATTGCAATTACTGTGTTCTTACTAAACAATAAATTTCATAATACTGATAGTAAAATGAGAATATTTCTAACATTTATCAAATGAAAATAGTTTACAATTAAGCATTTAAAATAATAGTCAGAGTTACACATGCATGGGAATGCTTTAGCTTACACACAATCAGAAAACACTGCACATGCAAAGTAATGGATAATGAAGTCAAAATCACTTTAGATCCAAATAAGCTTGTGGGAAGACAGAATAATTACATTTTTATTTTCTCAAAATCAGTAATACCAAATAATAAAATATAATAAATTAAATCTGGGGAAGAAAAAATACTAAAATGTGTTAAGTTATGGCACCCAGAAAATGTCTCTTTGACACCACCACACAGGAAAGAATTTTTGGATTTATTAGAAATTTTCATCTCCTTTATCTATCCTGGGAAATGTCAACCATGTTCTGCGTTTGCTCAGTCTTCAGTTACCCAGCTGCTTATGCTAGCCACTTGGACCACAGTTTGGTCACTCCTGATATAAAGTAAAAAGTATTTTCTCAACACTATTTCATATTATTTTTTTAAACAACTTTACAGATGTAACAGACATAACAAAACTCCAAACCACATTTCTGGAGCCAGATATACTCTAAAATTATAAGTTAAGACAATTTAATTGTGTTGTAATTACTCAGGCATAAGTGGAATTACAGTTTATTTATATTAAAAACTTAACTTGTCATAATAATGGATGAAACTACTCACTGAACATTTGGTACACTGAGTTAAACTTGCAGCAAAAGCAGTTTCATGCCAAGAATTTCCAAAAAAGAAAGATTTAATTTAAACTGTGCTTCTCTCTGCTATAAATCATACTGTTCTCAGAAGCTCAAGTTCTGTCTTATGATCCTACTTGCCTGTCACAACAAGAACTTTCTGATATATAAAATAAATAAATAAAAAGAATTTCTAAGCTTCCTTAAAGGGCCAAAGTAGTTAATTTTGCCATGATAGCAAAATATATTTAGTATTTAGCTACAAGTATGCTTTACATTAAATGACAAATTGTGATAGGACTTGCTGCTGCATGTCAAATGTACCAGACAGACACAATTAAGAAGTGAGCTTACTGACCATCCTGTTGCAGAGATGACCCTAGCTTC